GACCTATATCATTTGTTTTTGCATAGCTAGGCATGTGTTAGGGTCTGTTCTTTCCTCAGATAAACCATGTGCACATACTGGGAATTGAAAGAAATGCAGACCATGCACAGGCCCAGTGTACAAAGATGTTTCGCCCTCTCCAGCTCCTGCTAGGGATTTAAATGGAAACACTTTAAATCTAGATTATCTATGAAAGGTTAAAGTGGCCACCTGCTGTCCTTCATGCTTTCTCTGAATAATTCATGTAAAATGACGAGCCAAAGATGCAGTCTTTACAGCTTCGCTTTTCAATATAGATTACCATATTAATGTGCAATTTTCTGATGCCTTACCAATAAAACAGTGAAACAGTGGCTTTGGGGAGGAATTATAACATTCATCATGCTCAGTATATAATGTTTAGATCTATAGCAACATCAAACCCAATTTGCTTGATATGTCTGCAGCATGGCCAACACTGTTGTTACCTCCGCGCTGACATACTGTATCCGTTTGGTCGTTATGAGTTAAACCTGACCTGAGCCGTTCTTCTAGGATGCGCACTCCAATGAAGGGCATTTACTGGATGTTTTTGGAAGCCAGTGCTGAGTGTGTCCTGTTAATACAGGCGATGAAGTGACTCTATCACATTGTGCTTTGGTGAGTTTGAAATATCCCTCTGTGAAATCAATCTGCTACTATAGTGAAACTACTCCCACCTATCATGCGAGCAGTGTACACTGTAATCACAGCCATCATCGCTCTAAGATCGAGCGAGCTCAAGGAGCTAATAGCAGCTTTGCGGGATAACACAGAACCTGATGAATTATTTTGCCTGCTTGCTCTTCCTTTTGACCCTTGCCTCCCTATGAAACCACAGCCAAAGATTGATCTCCAGTGTAGAACCACGCACAAGATCAAACAGGTACTGGTGCTGCTTTACTGCTGCAGTGTGCAGAGATCACACATTGATCATGTGGCTGTAGACATGAAATAAAAATGAATAGACATGGTATAATTCTCCACATTCAACATTTATTAATCAATAAAACAAATTGACATGGAATTTTTTTTTCCAATTTTCGTGGAGAGCAATGAAAACAGGAGCAGTTTGAGGTTAACATATGATTAACTGATGTATAAAAAATGTATAACTGAGTGCATGTCAGTGAATGATTTTGTAAAAGAGGGTAAAATGTTAGTAAGAACATTTCTCCTATATTGATATGTTATTCTGTTGCAGGTGTATGCAAATTCATATAGAAAGTAATTTAGATCTAAATTATTTAGACTGCATTAGATCTTATTTGAAAGTACAACATTAACAAATTAAGGATCATTTTGCGGATTTTAAAACTTGTTTAAAACGTCAATAATAGGACTAGTCGCTGGTGACATCCACAAAACGAGATAATATTCTCTGTATCAGTGTAGCTAACACCCTAGCTTACTCCCATCACCCTCTGACCTATTTTAAAATCAGTGAAGGGTGGAGGAACAACAGGGAGAGTTTGGCTGAGATAAGTTTAATTTTCCTCCCTCTGCCAGGGGAACAGCTCCACAGCAGTCAGCTATCAGGGTCGGGACCCACATTTTGGACAGCCAAACACCGACCTAGCATATATGCGTAGAGGACGTTATGGATTACTTCACATTTAATGACATGTCAAAGTCAAAGCAGATTTATATGAGCCACAGTCCACAAAGAGAGGCAGTGGCTCAGGCTGCTGCTGATAGTGCTGCTGCTGCTGGCACCCGGCTACTGGTTAGCCCTGCTGAGCTAGCTAGAATGATAAAGACAGACAGGCTCTATAGCCGATGATTAGAGTTGATCGGTAGTATGTGCTCTTGCTGCCCTCCAGTGCAAAGGGAAATTTGGTCCCTACTGCAGTTTTTCTGAATCTGCTGACGACATCAACGTGAGGGCAGGGTTAATACTCGAAACTTTCTTCACTGATAAAGCAAAAGCAACTGAAGTTTGATGAACTAGGAAATTGACGGCCACTTAGATCAACATTTCAATAACCTAAAGCTGTGTTTACACATTGACAGCAATGTACATTGAGAAAGGGTCTTGTTTTTTGTCTTTGAAAGGCCCCACCATGGGCAAGCACAACATGATTATTTCAGACTTTTACCTCGATTACAATTAATGAACGATTACTTTGGCGCTTCCCTCTCCCTTTCTTTCTCTTGGATGTGATTGTGTTCCAAGAGATTCAACAAATTGGTTGTTTTACCTTTGGACGCTGAAATAATTTTTCTGCAGTGTTTTCTTTTGACTTCTTTTTGTTTGGTGTCATCTTCACGGAAGCCAAAATGTGCCTAAATGACTGACACAGGATGCTTCTTTGTTAAAACGTGCTAAGGTTGAGGTTCAGTGTTTGCACTCATGTCATCCATATCACCAGTTTTGCTTTGAATGAACGCAGACTAAGGTTAGTTGGATGGGGTGGAGTCCCATGATGTACAACAAGGTAGTTCTTTTTTTCTAACCCTAACCCTAAAAAAAAAAAAAAAAAAAAAGGGACAGTACAGGAATGCATGCAATGGGGAAAGTGTTCAACAAATTTACCTCCATGAGCAAGATTATAGTTAGTGGGAGGTTTCTAAATGTTGGTTTTGATATTTTTCGGTTAATTGCCCAGCCCTATATCACAAGTTTAGTATTTAAACATTTAGAAATAGAAAATGAAACAATGTGGTTTAATAAACAGCCAGCCTACAGTTTAGAGGTACTTACTGACCATCAACAGCTAGCAAACACAGGCTTCACACAACCTCAAACACTCAACAAAAAGTGGTTAGCTAGTGAGGCAACATGTAAAATATTAAACTATGGAGTAACTAGAAGGTGCAGTTCAACGCTAGTCATGTCCCTCCACCTCCAGCCCCTCCGCCAAGTTCAGCCAAGTTCAGTCACACCAGACTGTCCACTGGACTAACAGACTGATTCAACTCCATCAAAGTCCTGGTAAAACAGCAAACAAGCTAGCCCCCCCCCCCCCCCCCCCCCCCCAAAGAAAAAAAAAAAAATGTTATACTGTTACTCATTAAGAAGAATATGTCTTTTCACAGCAGACATTTTGACTTGTCATAATAACATATGTCCCAGTAAGTCATGACAGTGCGACAGTGAGCCACCTAAATATCAGGACCATGAAACTCAAGCAGCTAAAGGGAATCCAGCCATCATTTATTTTACACCTGTGCCATTCCTTCCGTGATGTATCAACATGTCTTCTGTTTAAAAGAGGTAGCAGTGGTTAGCGAACCACAGCACGTAAATATGACAACTACGTCGCTATCGGAAGGTGCAGTTCTCCTGTTTTGGCAGAAACTAGCCACCTCCCTCCACCTGCAACCTTGTGTGGAGTTAATACCTCCCAAATGAGTCTATTAACACACAGATAAAAATTCAACTCCATCTAACTCCTGCTATAACTCTGTCTCCTCGAAATTATGTTTCTATATAGCTAAACAGCAACAGCTAATGTGTTTTGGAGGAAATGTAATCACTGGCTGGATTATGTTTAGAGGCAACATATTTTCTGAATGAATGAAGCGCTACGTTTATCAACAGCAGCGAAGTTGCTTGGGGGTGTGTTGGGGTGGATGACAGGCGTGCAAAGCGCATGAGGTTCACATTCAGTGTCCCATCCGTGTTTAAGTTCAGAAAACAACAGCACTTGTGCCTAAACATAAACATGTGGTCACTACAAGTGGATAGTATACTGAAAGATCGGATATTTGATCATTTTACTGATATGTTCAGTATCAGTGTATTTGCAACGTGTAAAATAGGTAAATGAACAACATGTTAATAGAACATGTAATCGGGCTGCAATTCCAACAAGGTGTATTTGCTTTTGCAGTTTAGTTGTAGAGCAAAATCATTTTGAGGAGACAGGGTTGGTTGATAAGACATCAAACAAGCCAACCCTCCAAGATGTCAAAGTGCTCCAGGATAAATAATTATAATGAAATTACTGAATTTCAAATTATGATCTTTTACACTACTCGTTACTGAAGAAGCACCATCTTACTAAGTATTGCATCAATGCCCAACGCTGTTGTCCACCCCCACTTGTGCTTTTACATATTTTGCCTCATTAGACCTCTCTACAAACTCTGTTTGATTCACATCTCACCCCTGAGAGCGAGAAACCTCAACACCTGACAGAAAAACACCTGTGTGTGTGTGCGCGCGCGCGCGCGTGCAGGGTTCTCATCATCTGATACTGTCATTATTTCCACTTTAACAATTGCACTAACTGGAATTAGAAGAGGGACTTGGCACATTTACCCTGTGATTGTCAAAAACTTAGTGCATTGTGATGCAGATCAAACATTTCCATTTTCCATTCGAATTTAGATGAAATTTCAGCCTTGGCTGAGGGACGTGTACAGCTGCTAACCATTCATGGTTAGAGGAGCCAGATGACGTTGCTGGCTGCTCCACCTGAGCCTTCGAACCCACATAATCATAGATCACTTTTCCTGTTGTTTTGTAGTGTATTGTAGTGGCCACGGTACAGATATGATAAGAAGCTTAATTAGCGCTGCAGTAAACATACATACACCCAAAGGTAGACTCATCTGAGGGTTCACTAGTGAAAGTCTCACACATAATGCATTCTGGTACGTGTAGGCAAAGGCTCTTTGAGGAGGAGGATCGTTTCTCGAGATGAATGGAACTAATAGTCTTCATGGACGCTTATAAAATTACAAGCCAATTACATTCTTGTCCACGGTATCCTGTAGGTCATGTCTAAAGTATCAGTTATATGATTTTTAAAATGTGACATTGAAGTGAGCCAGTATGTAAAGATATTTTAGAAACAGATTATTCAGAAGGTGGTAATGATTGTAGTGAATGAGCCCCTCGGATAAAGATCCTTATACTGTAAACACTGCACAATTTAAATATCGCTCTAACCATATACCATCTGAAGAGATCAAGGTACCAAAACACAATCCATTCCACATTACACATGAAATATCAAATCAATCTTTCTTACTGTGTTGTTTCCATTTCCATTTAAATGTAAGCCACTGTCAAAGAGGGGAGAGGACACTCTGCTGTGATCCGTCGACGGCCCAGGAGAACCTGAGAAAACAGTGAAGAATCACTCTTCCAACAGTTAGTCCAACTTCACATCGTGCTAGTTATTTTATTCTTTCAGAAACAAAGAAAATAAGTCGAGAGTTTTACCTAAACCTCAAATATCATGGCTCAGTTGATTTTAATGTTTATTACTGACTGCTGTCCTGCCTTCAGGTCGTACAGTGTAGCTCACGGACAGCATCCAAAAGAGACAAATGCTGCTCTTTGATTTGATATTAGCTTGGCGTTGGAGGACCTGATTACTGATTCGGTCACACTCAGTAAAGTGAGGCAAACAGCTCCTGGCCTCTCCTGCTTGTCATTTTGTGCCACGGTGAAACGACAAACGCCTTCGAGAGAAATCGACTTGAACCTTTTTCTTTCTCAGGCAACAAAGCACAATTCACCGGCCAAACACCCTACAGCAAAACCTGATCATCTCTGCACTGACACCTTCCTATGAATGTTAACTATCCCACAAGACATGAGGGCTACATTTCTCACAGCTCGCACTTTGAATTTGCGAGAATGTGGTGGTTTATCAACCAAGCCATAAATATTCATGAAAGTCTATTAGTATTAATTATTTTTCTACATCTGTGTCATCATTATGTGTCCATAATTAAGGAAACTGTACAAAATGATCGTTATGTTTGCCGGTAGAGACTGAAGTCATTTGTATTACAGGGCCTTCATTCATTTTTTTTTTTTTTTTGTTGCTTACAGCTAATTCATAAGACAACAATTACTGGTGGCTCAGCAGTCCGGATGTTTGTGTCTCACACACAACTGTGAACATCTGAAGACCCAGATGTAAAGTTAAGTTCCCATGTGCTACAGACTTTGATGATGCTCCCATTACATTTGAGTTGGCTGAGATTTCAAAGGAACAGTTCAACATTTTGGGACACACACAGTGGAAGGAAGGACAAATATATTTAGGTTTTTAAAAGCAACCGGACTGATTACAGGATTGTAATAGCAGCATAAAACCATAAGGAGCCAGTAATGAAACATATTGGATCACAATTGCTGTAAAAAACCCAAAGAAGGAGGAGAACATTTTGGGAAATGTCAGTTAAATATTAAGCTGAAGCCAGGATACGGTTCATAGCTCAGCATAAAGACTTGAACCAGGGGTAAACATATAGCCTGGCTCCATCCCAAGGTAACAAAATTCATCAAGCAGCATCTTTAAATCTCTCTAGTTGGCGTGTTATATCTTGTTTGTTTAATCTGTACAAAAACTGAAATGTAGAAATTACAAGTTGTTTTAGCCAGGTCCCCACCTGGCCCCCGCTTTGAGTGTTTAGACTAAGCTAAGTTAAAAGTTACTTCCACGTAACTTTCTCTTAATGGCTTTTTCCTGAGCCTTCAACCACATCTCATGGCCCTCCTTCCCACATTGAGCTTGTCCAGTTGTCGTGGAGACCGCTGAGAGCAAACTATCTGCTGAGGAGAGTGAGACATGGTTTAAAGGTCAGGAATAAGCTAGTAAGTGGACCTTGAATGAGGATTTAATGTTGGTCAACATACATGTTAATTGACCAGACCATAATGTATATAGGCCCCGAAAACCTGTTTCTCTGTCAGCTCTCACATTTTCTCCCCCAGTTGGGCTCAGTTAGAGAAAGGTGATGACACATGAGCACCAATCAGAATTTACCAACTTTTGAATTTAAATTTGATGACGACAGCTGAGTGGTGGGTTGTTCACTTATGTTCAAGGAAGTAAACAAACAATCAAACATGGCTGTAACTTATGATTGTTTTCATAATCTAATAATTGGCCAATTATTTATTTTAATTAATGAATTGTTTGGCCTATAAAATGTCAAAAAGCTGTCAAAAATTCTCATCACAATTTCCTTAAACCCTAAAATATTGAGTAATAAAATATTCCTAGATATAAAATAATAACTAGAGATATGCCAATTGACCAAATCATGCACAATAAATGAACCATATTATTGGTTTGAAAATCTGTCCTTTAAATCGCTCAGCTACAAATTTAGAAATGATTAACTTAATATTGTGAATGTGATTACTGCAGATATTTTAGGCAAGCAACCATGGGTTCCTCCACTGCAGGAAGTGGTAAAAGAAAGGAGGAAAGTAAGTGCAGTGAAAGTATGTGAACACTTTATCATCACCAGGTTTTTTGGCAATAACAGCTCATAAAGCGTCATATGATCTTCATCCAAGTCACAAATGTAGATGAAACACAGTGTCACTAAGCTAATATCACATGAACAAACAAAGCCAGTAAACATTCACAGTGCTGGTGGAGAAAGTAAGTGAACCCTAGTTGAACCTCCTTTATCACCAATAACCTCAAACAAGCAGTGCCAGTACAGCTGCTGATCAGACATGCACAATGTTTGGGATGAATTCCGGCCCATTCTTCCTTATAGAGCTGCCTCAGCTCAGACATATTCTTAGGATGTCTGGTGTGAGCAGCTCTCTACAGGTCATTTCACAGCGTCTCTACTGGATTAAGGTCTGGGCTCTGACTGGGCCACTCCAAAAGGTGGATTTTCTTTGTTTGAAGTCATTCTGTTGTAGATTTACTTTGATGTTTGGGGTCATTGTCCTTCTAGGGGGAGTAGCCACAGCACTGAACTATCACCATTTATAGACAGTTTGTCTGACTGTGGACTGATGAATACCTGATGTCTTTGAGATGACTTTCCAGCTTTATGCCAATCATCGGTTCTTCAGCCTAAGTCCTCTGAGATCCTTTTTTTGCAGTTCACATCAGCAGATGCTTCTTGTGAATAGCAAACTCAAAAGTAGCTCTAACCCAAACGTCCAATCTTCATTGATTGGACTCCAGGTTTGGCAACTCCTGACTCCAATTAGCATTAGTTAATGCCAGTAGCCGAGGGGTTCACATACTTTTTCCAGCCTACAATCTGAATGTTTGAATGATGGTTTTAATATGGGCAAGAACAACACATTGATTTGAGTGGATTTGTTTAAGTAAAAATACTATGCTATGATTAACATTTTATTGAACATGGTTTTCCCACAAAAGAAAAAAAAAAAAAAAAAAATCACTCATGATATGTCTTATGTAATCATATGTATCTAAAAAATATATAAAGTATATAAAAAAATATCATATGGACATGTTAACAAGGTTAAAAACATGATCATCGTTGGAGGGGGTCTTTCAGATAGACTGATTTTGATTTTGTTCATACTTGTAACTTGGATTAAGCTCTGACCACATTTTGGGACAAATTCATACATCAATGAATACAATTACAAAGGGTCCACTTACTTTTCCTTGCCACTGTATTTCCACTTTCTTTAAAACCCATAAAATTGCCAAACTTTCCAAAAATTTGCCATATTTGTCTTGAGAACTGCTTCAATTTCTTACCTGCCTCACCAGCGTACCTCATTTCTCACCTTTTATCTGCTCCACATGAATGATTTTAGTATCACTGTTTTCAAGCTGCTGAAGGTAAGTACAGGAGCAGGAGGCTGCAGCTCTGGCTGTTGCTGCCATTACTGCTCAGGCCACCGAGCATGACAATTTTTTACTTTGAAACAAATTCTCATCTATTGAACAGCTTTAAAGCGTTAAGGTGAGTAAAAAGGCAATCTCCTAAAAATATTTTTTTATTTATGTAGTTTTAGAGATAGATTATTGTTAAAAATGCTCAATGAAATAGAGTTATTGTGAGCTCACATGGCAACAAAATGACTCGACTCTTACCTAGAGGCAGTTTTAGAAATGATGGAACTTCTCGTAGGTAGCGAACAGTGATGGTGACCTCATCTCCCGCCGTACGCAAGAGGTGAACCTGTCAGGAGCGAGAGAAGAAGAAGAAGAAGAAGAAGAGAGAGATTGTGATAGAGATAGACAGCGAGAGAGAGAGAGAGATAGATTGTGAGCGATGCAGCGAGATAAAATGTAATCTCACGTAAATGAAACCCGCCACATTCATGTCAAGCCGCACGCAGCGCCGAGCAAACAAAATGTAACTGGAGACGAGTGAAGAATATGCAATCATACGTTAAAGCCTGACTGAAGTGGCTTCACTTAAATCATCAAAGGTGGAACCTGAAGGCCGGCGTCTCACTCTCTCTTCTGACAGGCGGCGGGAAAGTGACAGCTGACAACACAAAGTAATTACGCTCTGATTATCTGATGCCTACGTGATACAAAATATGTCCTCAAAAGATGTTGAGTCATAGTTTCAAAGAGGCATTCAAGTAAGGTAATTAAAAAGGAAGAAATATCTAATCTGTCTTCCTTGTATGTTAGACGAGGAAATGAGACGCTTGTATGTAACATCTATCGTGTTAGGGCATTATTACATCCCTACTATCCTAAATGCTATCTGCTATCAGGTTCCTTGCTACTCTCTCCGACAATATGTGTTAGCCCTTGTTCCTTCAGCCTGAGCATCTGTCAGTGCTGGGGAGTGTGAAAGCCATTAAAAGCCCTGGATTTGCTTCTTAAGAGAAACTCCTCATTATGTGCTTTGACGCTGTGCAGGTGAATATAGTGAACAGCTGTTTTGGGGGAGAGACAGAGATGACAGACAAGGGGAGAGTGTGTGTGTGTGTGTGTGTGTGTGTGTGTGTGTGTGTGTGGGAGATAGGGGCAGAGAATAAGGGAAACATTTAACAAAGCGAGAAGCTAAATTGGAGATGGAAATTGAGAATGTGTAAAAAGTCTGCCAAATATTACCACCCTCAATTCCTGTGCAGCTTTTGATACGGATCTGCTGCTTTTCAATCTTTTCAATTTGTCACAGTGTAAACCAAAAGAAAAACAGCTTCCTGCCAAGATGACAACTCAGATTGTTGAGGCGCACCTCCGTGTTGATAACCGCTGGGATTAGGTGTTAAACCTGGGAGACGGATGGAACAGCAAAGGATGGATGGAGCAGGGTATTAGCTTTTATTACAAATATACTCACAACTTCCTCATGAGTACAGTGCTCTACGTTTATGCCGTTGACCTAAAGAAACGAACAGAGAGTGGGAAAGAAAATGTAAATAATAATGGAGAAAGTGTGTAATTTAGCAACTCTTTGCTCATTTGCTACTGGGTTGGGGCCAGGGGCTCGGCCACAGGTGGCACAGGATATGATGGGCACCCCTGTTGGCCCCCTACCAAAGTCAGAAAGTGACAGGTAGTTGGGCTTGTTAGTATGATTATGACAGATTACTGAGCAAGTCTACTGGGTGCTGGCCCTGGGCCCTTAGAGTAAACCTGTGTTAACCTGACTGTTAGGCTTTCCATCAAGAAATCCTATCAAACCAAAATAACAAAATAACTGACAAAATATAACCAAAAACAGCCACATACAGACGCAAAACAACACCAAATAGTCGCAAAAAGACACAGAAAAACAGAAGCAAAAATGGCCACGAAGAAACACACAACAATCAAAATGACAGAATTACCATGGAGACGCAGAACGACCATGAACAGATGCATATCCATGAAAAGACATAAAATGATCACAAAGACAAGCAAAACAACCAGAGACACAAAATGAACAACAACTAGAAGAAACACAAATCAACTACAAACAATGCTCTCCGTCTGGGTGTCTTGCTCCTATAAGTAGGAGGAGTCGGGGGGGGGGGGCAGAGGACCGATGTCTCATAGTCACGATTTGCTGTTTATTTGACATACATTGATTACACTGAATAAAATGTAACTATTAACAGTGACAAGAATATAATTGCAGATTTAAATTTGAGTCTTAACATATTTTTTATTCATTATTGACTAAAAACTTCTAAAGTTTATTCGACAGAAAATTGTGACCCCCCCCCCCTGCATTTGCTGCACTGTCCTCCCACGGCTTAACATATGCAGATACATGCAATATCCTGCAGTTTGACAATTCAAATAAGTCATTTTGCAACTAAACAAAAGGTGGAAGCAATTGCAAATCAATTCATAATATAATTCATAATAACTTCCAGTATGAATCTTAATATTGTTCAGCTGTCCAATATATCTACTTGATATTCTAGATAAACAGCACACCCAATAAACCTGCCAGACAGATTCAAATTAACTTTTTAAAAAGATTAAATGAATATCATTAGTAAATACCAGACACTTTTGGGTTTCAATGATTGTAATGAACAAAAGCTATAATTTATTGATGACCTTATGATTAAAATACCACAGCATCCATGACAGTGAGATGTCTATTTGGTTAAATTGAAATAGTGTGTCACAATTCAGTAAGACTATATCTGATCACAGCATTATCTTTTCAAAGGAGCAGAGATATTAAAAGACTCATTTGATTAAAATCATGCATTAAAAAAAAAAAGAAAAAAAAAAAAAAAGAATAATTCTATTCCTTTTCCTTCAATGAAATTACACTCCGTCAAAATAAAAGAGGGTTGAAATTAAGGTGCAACAAGTTGCCACTCTTGGCTGTGACCCAAATCAACCTTGGGGCAAAAATAAGTCACGAACCGATGTACCAACCTGCAACACAGCATCCCCGACGAAAAGCTTCCCCGACTGATCGGCTGCGGGCGTCAATTGTCAAGTGTCAGAGGTTAATGAAAACATTAGAAAATAATTGCTCATTTCATACATGGTAATGTGGTGGAAATAGCAATCAATGTCTCTGTCTAACTAATCTCAGGCAACATCCTACAGCTCAGAGAAAGAACACAGGAAAGCATGAAATTTGAAACTAATCAGGATATAAACTCATTTTCGGCGGCACGGGAGGAAACAATGAAAGCTCTGTTGTGAAAAGATTTGTAAAGCTCTGAGAAAAGGGCTCTTGGCGTCCTCGGGGATATGAAGACATGATTCACTCATATCCAAAAAGGCATTAAGAGGGATGTGGGCAAAAAGACAAATTACAGCGAAATGATTCACATGATGCTTTGATATTGCATCCCAGCAGGATACCGAGAGGTCATCGGTTCTTCCAATTTAACCCACAAACATGATTAAAGTATTTTCTCGTCCATCTAACAAACAGCATGGTCACATTTACTCTTCCACACTGGCTACTGTTTAGTCGTGATACTGTTTCTCTTTGCATAGTAATTTGTAGGCAGGCTTGCTGATCATGAATAACTGCCCCAGTGGAAACACTACACAAAATGAATAATAAATGTAAAAACACAGACACAACTTTTTTTTAACCCCCCTTCTCTTTGAAAGATCTCATTATTCAGTAGTCACCCCCACTGAAAAGAGCTTGTTCTTATTTCTTCTTACATTACCAGTAGGTGAACATGAAGAGCCCAAACTATAAAAGAAATAGTTCAACATTTTGGCAAATATGCTTTGGAGTTAGATTGGAAAATTGATACTGATCTCATATCGGAGAGCATCTTTCGCTTTCAACTCTGAAGTTGACTTGTTTGACAGTGTCTCTTTTTTGTATAACCTGTACATGAACAGAAATGTATAATCTGGGCTGTAAAGGAAGTTACGTACTGAGGCAAATAATACTTTCAGAAACCGTGTCCTCACAGCGAGGTTGCCATCTGCTATCTGGCAACCAGGACGGCAGGTGGATGTAAACAAGCCGCAATTACTTTTACTTTTGAACTGCTTTCGCCAAGAAAATTATCCAGGACTTCCCGCAGAACCCATTACACTGTCATTGTAGTGCCTTTGAAATGAAGGTTATTATCCAAAAGACTTAATTGACATTTAGTCCACTCAAGAAGCATAAACACCTTTTTAAAAGCAAATCACCAAAACCACACTTACTGTTCTATCTCGTTCGCAAATCCTCTAATGGATAAACACAAAAGATAAACTTTAACTTAAAAACAGGAAAGCCAAAAGCTAGACCAAGGGCCAGACCGAAGGATCGCAAGGGCCAGACCCGACGATGACCTCTACAGTTGGTGTCACTGTGACGGCTGCCTGTTACATGATGCTGTTGGCCTCCAAGGCTCTTGCTAGCTGGTGATTCCGTTTCCTGGCTGAAATCTACTTTTATACATTTATGTTTCAAATTTTATCGATCTGACTGCAATGCAATACAATGTTTCAAATTTGTGCCAGCTAGGTTTCATGGGTTTGTTTACAGTCTTTATGCTAAGCTAGGCTAAACACATCCTGACTCCAGCTACATAACGCACATTGTATGTATATGCTCTCATTTCACTCTGGGAGATAAAGCAAATATGGATATCTTGCAAAACGTTGAACTATTCCTTTAAACAGACATCTCTACCACCACAGCTGAGGACCCGCTTCCTTTGACAATTTGCTCTTTGATTATGTCCTAAACTGAAACTGAAACTAAACTGAAAATCAATGATGCTCTCAAAATGCTCAACATTTCATTGTGAATTCAAATGTCACCAGTAAATTATCTCTACTGTCTCTTTCTAATTTCATTAACATTTCTTTGTTCAATATGACATTTAGCACCGTGCTGAAAACCATTCCAGAGGCCACATTAAAGTAGCGAGATAAAATACTTTCTTACCTACTTGATCTTTGAAAATCTTTGATATAACCACAGGCACGTTGTGCTCTGCACCTCCCTGAAAAGCAGGAGAGAAAGATGAGAATGAAGGTTATTGAGTTTCGGTTGTGAAATTCTGCTGCCAAAACTCCTCTCTCAGACAAACAGCCATCTCTGCATCCCAAAGCCTTTTCATTTCTACTTTAGTCTCCCCATAATCAAAACTTATCTGCTTACTTTGATGCTTAAGCCGAGACCGCCAGTCGCTTGTCTTCGCAGTACAACAGTTCTGTGCTTTAGAAAGTGGGAGTTTCTTATTGGCAAAGGGATATTTTGAACATAGAAACAGTATTCAGGAGTTATGCAGCATGAATTACAATGCAAGTCTCGAGCCCTCGGGCGCACTTACATTTACTTGGGATTCACTTCCACTTGTGCAAACCACATCCAGCTTCTGTATGGTTAATACCTCTTTGGTCAATTTCAGGCAGACATCATAGGTATTGTTGGTCTCCTCATTGTACAGCAAAGCAATTCCAGATTTTGTCTGTTGGAATTGAGAAGAGCATTGACATTTTGCCAAGCAGAGCAATTATGTACACAATGAACATTTTAATCCTCTTTTCTCAATGTGTCATTTGTGTACCCCATTCTGCCGGTCTAGTTTTGGGTTAATTGGTTTTGCTTGACATTGTGATAGAGTGAACCTTTGTGTAAGAGAAAAAAAAAAAAAGAATTGCATGCTTTGAATTTCACATCTTTACCTTGCAAAAAAAAAAAAAAAAAAAAAGTTCAGGCAGTTGTTAGACAATTCAACTTTGAGGACTGAAATGACGACAATAGCCAACTCAGATAAAAGAACACAGCTTCAGACGTCCCACTTCACATTATGACTATCTCTGTGTAGGTGAAGATTTCACAGTTACCAGTAAACATAACACTTTGCAGCTCAATCCCACCCTCGAATTTAATGCATTTTCTCTGATCTTTCACTGCTCAGTACTATCTGCAAATTCCAAATGAAAAATGGCCAAACCCTCGAGCTGCTCTAATGAATTAGAAACAGCCTGAACTTTTTTGTCTAGAGATTAAAGTGAATGACTGCCAGATAGAGTTTTACAATGCTGCGAGTCATATTTCAGATAGCACAGCTCCGTGCTTCCCGATCTGACATACCCCACACTCCTTTATTTCAAACATGGTCTTTTCAATTGAATCTAATACATGAATATTTTTTTCATACAAGACATAATGATGCTAGAACTGTCGACATTTGGGATTTGTTTCTTTTGTATTACTACTATTACCACGCAGAACCTAGACATTTCAAGCATTTAGCTTGACCTTGTAGCATCATCATCTGTTTTCACTACTTTTCACACACTCTGCTGCTTACATCTTACGGGTTAGTGGGAGGCCTGTCCTGTGTTTGTTGGCTGTAGCCCTGAGTCAATTCAATCATGCATTAAAGCCCTTAAAAATAATATGATATTGTTTATCAAAAAAGCAAGGACATTTGGATCCTTTCATCGTTCTACTTCAGACCACTTATCACACAACTAGATTTTTTTTATACTTTTAAGACTTGTAAATGTTCTAATGGCAGTATTGTAAACTTTTGCAAAACCCAATCAGCCAAGTCAAAAAAAAGACCACTTAGCACACTCACATTTTGTGTGAGAGCGCGAGAGAGTGAGAGAGAGAGAGAGAGACAGAGAGAGAGAGAGAGAGATATTACAGGGCTATTGTTGGCATCTGGTGGTAGCAAACAAGCTACGGCTATGGATATAAGAAGCGTTTTCAAAAACAATGAGAGTTTAGGACATGCACGTGAGGCTAGAGGAGGTGGAAGAGTCACCTGTTGCTATAGCAGCAGATTCAGTCAGGACTGAATCACCTGCAAGCTCGGGTTAGTGAAGAAGAGGGCTCTTTAGCTGGCTAGCTAACTCAGTGGTTATCAAATGGATTTGTCACAAGGCACACCGTTATTATAGCTATGCAACAGCACAGTTTGAGAACCACTGGTCTATAGCTTCTGCACTCACTGTGATATTGATGTGGAACATGGGCCAAGCATAGAACAAAGTGGTATGACTTTAATTACTTTGCCTTTGTAGAATCCAACTGACAAGTCTTCAAACCATAATAAATTTCCCCTGAAACGCCTGTATCATACATATACATCTGTGCAACTTTGGAGATGTATTCTATTATTCCTTCAGTAAGTAGAAATGTCAAGCTAACAACAGGTCATTACAGCAGCATGGGAAGCTGCTCATCAGTTACTATTACTATCATTATATCAATGTTATTCAAAGAGTCAATTACTCCATCATCCAACAGGAAAAAAACTCTACTCAGGCAGTGTCACTTTTAATTATTTAGATGAAACTACACATTAGTGTGTCATTCAAAGATGTGTGTTTGTATTCAAAGTATGTTGCTGAGCAGATGATATTCAAGAGGTTAAAATACCATGTTATGTTCCTTGTTCATTGTGTATTAATGACTAGTGGACATAAAAAAAGTGGAGTGATTAGTAAAATATGTGGAAATGAAAGGAAACATGTTAACTAGGTGAAACATAGAGCAGAGAGAGAGAGAGAGAGAGAGTAGAGCGCTAAGACTGTTGTTCATCATTACCCTATGGCCACCAAAGCAACCCAGTTTAGCATTTTTGGGATACTATATGTTATTATTACTTGGCAAACCGACCCTTGCTGGTTTAACCTAATGGAGGTGCATGGAAAATAAATTCCACAGTAAACATGCAAAGCTCCAGATTCAATGAAGCCTGATGTGTCATTTAACTCCATTCTTTAAAAATAGCTGCTCTAGTCTATATAATTTTGAAACACGCCGCAGTGAGATGCATAATTTCCTCAAGTTTTGTCATGATCCCATCTGTGATGTCTAATACATCATATCGACAAACAATTAAGTCCCCCCCCTCGCCCGACCCCCTCCACTGTTATATTGGTCTATGTTTGACGATGCTGTATTGAAGTGATGAGTTACATTGTTTGCACAAGCTTCATCAAAATCCCGCCAGAGGAGTAAATAGGCTTTGATGGATGAGCTGACATATAAACATATGAAAGGACAACAGCCGATATTTGATGGAAAAACAATTGCCAGTTGAACTGAAGTGACTCGACCGAAGTGTAAAGAAAAAAAAAACTGCTAAATGTGCAAGGAGGGGATAAAATAACTGGAACACAAAGACTATACAGTCCATACCACCACCTGCAATGGCTTCATAAGGTTACTATAGAGTAGAATCAGGAGGTTTTCAACACCGTCTCACCAGGAATTAAGCATTACAGGCTTCACAAAGATGCGGTTTATTGCAGCACGTCTCGTTTGTATTTCAGTTATTGTGTCCACCCCCTCTTTCATTTGATACTGTAGCAGGTTTAACCCACTAGGATTCCCTTTGGGCTGAAGTATTATCAAATGCCTCCTACAACACTGTTGATAATAGTGCACTATGTGGAGTACCTTACAGTTTTAACCCTTTTATCAGTGCTTTACACCAAACATGTCCATAGTGTTTTAATACATTTAAAAAAAAAAAAAAAAAAAGTCAACGCAGACTTATTACTACTGATCCTTGAATATTTCCATTGCTCGCCCTCATCTCAAAAGGACAAATTATTTTTCATATGTAGAAGTGAATATGAATAGTGAAGGTTATTTCTTTATCATCATACATTTGGCATTCAGCAAAAAGGACAAACAGGAGGACAAAAATACAAATGGAAGTGGTTCGTTGCGCTGCTGTTGTTGTTTTCAGTATAATAGAAGAAGACTGACCATTTCATAGACAATGCACTTTTGAGTGGGCAAAAAAGGTTACAATCAGTAGGCTATGTGAGTGAGGTCAACCAATTCTCTTTTAAGAGACTTTGAAATGAAGGTCGTGCTCTGTTCCCACCACAGATGACAAGTTTCATCTCAAGGCCTTGTGAAAATGTACGGTGGATGCATTCAAGAGACTCAAAAACAAGTGTAAAAGTTTGATGACAGCCTACGTCAGCGACTTCACTGTCACAGCAACTTCACTGTCAGGCCATGGCAAGACAAAATTCTTTGGACTTGTCAACAACAGATCACATGTGGCATCCACATACACGTAAACAATCCCACAGATAGAAACTTAACATAATTCTGCTGAAGAGGTTGACTGCACCACAGATAAAAGACACATTTTATTTGGCTACTGACATTTTGAGGGAATAACTACAAAGAGAATGAGAAACGAGTTTATTTGTGCACTTCATATCAAAAGCAAGAACACTTTCTAACAAACTGACAAACTCTTGACTAACTCAACTCAATACAACTTTAATTTCCTAAAGAAAACCAGCCTTCTTAAAATCAAACTTCATGTTTGCTCAGAAATCAGTAAATATCCCTGGTTCCTGCTTTGACTCATTTTTTCAAAACTGCAATTACCAGGTAGAAATTCTCCAAAACCTGTGTGCTCTTGAGTGGGCATTCATTTTTGGTAACAACTGAGGGTCAGGAATCAAGTCACACAACACTGAGGTGACAGGACTACCTGCAGTTGGGAGTTATGACAGTCCTGTCATGTGTCATGACCCTCAAAAAGACAGGCTGCTAACGCTAGTTAGACCTAAGCCTGCTTTGAGAGCTAATGCAGGAGAAACAGCATTCAGCATGTGTCATCTTGAACATATAGTAATGTCCAGTGGGAATCAGTGCTAAATTTAGCAAGCTCGAATAATTAGCTTCTTGTTTCTGAGGGGAATACAAACTTAACAACACAATGGCTCCGCCTTTCATCGACATTCATAAGCTGTGTCCCAAGTCAGGGGCTTAAGAGGAAGCAGTCCACGAAGCCGCAGTCTTTGCAGCCGTCATAGACCACGAAGGCTGAACCGGAATGAGACGTTCTAGCCTAAGGAGGATTTCTGATTTGCATCACCAGCTGTGTACGCCCTTACTGTTGCGCCACAAAGCAAGAAAACTTCCAAATGGGACGGCCTAGTTGCGCCGCTGTGACGCAATCAGTCTTCAAATGCAACCTCCAAAGGATGCGACCTCTGAATCGTGACACAGCTACAGACTATACAGCACATGCTGTAGTCAGTAGCAAACTACAAAAGTTGCTAGAACATATCCAAGCAAAGCTGGTTGGCCTTAAGGGGGATATTTAAAAAGACCTTTGGTTGACTTTTAGTTTGTTTTTAATGCAGTGGTGGGGCTTTTGGATTCCTATGGTTAATATGGATTAGTTTCACATTTTCAATTAGTGATGGGGCCCTCAAGAAAGAAATCCATAGTGTGAGAAAATGTGTGGGAAGTGGGAACTGATGTCCCCAAATAAAGAACCAGCATTTTCCAGCCCTGTGCTTCTGCCAGCTTGTTCATGTGTGACTGTGTAACTATGGTGCCATCTTGCAACCTCATCTCATTTGTATAGACTGAAAACAATAGAGAGGATAAAAGCAGCCTTGTGGGACACCCGTACACAAAACAATCTCGTTAGACACCACACGCTGGTCTCGTATTCTCTTTAGG